ACAATAAAAGTAACATATTTTCTAAATAATGTGTATGCTTGTGTGCTATCAAAAAAATATGCAGAAAGTGAAGGTATAACCAAAATCACTTAATGATACATTCAGTGATTTATACCTTTACCAAACCTCCATGCATTTGGCACTCAGGGAAAAGGACAACAAGCCATTATAATTTTGCAACACAAATTGTAGACTACCTTGTCAAGCAAGATGCAGTCCTTAGTTCAAGAAGTATGAAATATCTAAATAACAGGACTAAACTGACTGATGCTGTGGCCTCCATGTTCATGCTCAGACTTGAGGTACGTTTCAGGATTTGCAGAAGATGCTTGGTGGTGTGGGTAGTAATTCCATGAATGTCTGTGTAGTTATAACCATGGTAATGACAGTGATGGTTGTGGGTGGGAAAGGCCACAGTGATATGCATTGATATGTGATTTGGTGTGGGTATGGCATTGTGTTTGGCATTGGGGATGATAGCGACCATGAGGAGACATGGAAATACTGATAAATATTGTGAAATTGTTTCAGTTTCACACAGCAATGTAGTACAATGTTTAGTTTGTCTGTAATGAACAGAACGACCAAATTTTGAGACCCTGCTTCTAATGCATTTCCTTCCCAAGTTGATCATAAAAAAGTCGTAAACAGTATATGTAAAAAGAATATTAAAGAAAAAAATTAGGCCTCTGTGCCCCATAGGGGCACAGAGGCCTAACTATACCCCGAGTCCCCTCAAACATCTATCAAAGCTTCCAACCGCCTTCTCCACATTCATCATAACATTAAACCCCAGCACAGAGACAACAACAACAACCATCCACATGAAAATGACCTGCTGGCTACTACAGGCGTCCCCACCACCACCGCCGCCGCCAGCCCCGAGGTCGTCGCCGTCGTTGAGGAAGGACAGCCTGTCGAAGCACCACAGCCTGGGCGTGAGGTCCTGCGCGCCTGCCCCTGACTTCGCCGAGTCCTCCACCGCCTTCACCTGCCGCCGGAACTGCGTCCTCAACGTGTGGATCTTCCTCATGATGATGTCAGGCGTCACGGTGCAGTTTATGCGGTTCGTCATCTCGAGGGACACGCTCCTTAAGGCGACATTTCTTAGGATACGGTTCTTGTACTCTTTGCTCTTGGTTTTCCAGAGGCAGGGCTGTTGTTTGAGCAGGTCTATGAAGAGCAGGGTGTGCGGCCTGCTCCACGACAACAGGCCCTCATCAGACATGGCAGGGAAGAGGTGCAAAGAGGCCAGACCTGCTTTGACAACCGACTCGTGGTTACTGAGCGCGATGTGATTGGTCGGGTCGGGGTCGGCTCTGAAGCGGTGACGTCACAACTGGTGTTTTCTTTGAAAGATTATTATTATCAGTATTATATCATTTTATTTTATTTTATTTGCGAGCTTATTGTAATCTTATGTATCAGCCATTTTCTTTTCTGGGGGATGAGGTTGTCGTTAATGTCATAAGGCTTGTGAAAGTATATTTGCAGATAGCTACACTTCAGTGTTTGTGAGTGGGACTGTGACGTCATCGATATTTTCCACCCACGCGAGGCGCCGTTTTTAAATGCCAGAGAGAGAGAGAGAGAGAGAGAGAGAGAGAGAGAGAGAGAGAGAGAGAGAGAGAGAGAGAGAGAGAGAGAGAGAGAGAGAGAGAGAGAGAGTGAGTCTCATAGGATTATAAACTAGTGTTCATTTCATAGATCAACATATATAAAAATGAAATACAGAGGTAAGACATGACGTCACAAGTATTTATGACGTCATTGACTACACCAGTAAAATGTTGCTATTATGGCGGTATCTGGCAACCGCAGCTTACATTCATTTAATTTATTTTTAAGCGAAACTTTATCATAATTCGTATAATATCTTTGATCATACCCTACCGACGCCGGCATTACTACTTCACTGCTAAATGTCATACAGTATTGTAGAAACAAAAGGTTATTACTAAATTAAATCTTGTACAGGTATTCCTCGATGACAGATGATCGCTTATTAATCCAGAATGTAAATAAACGTTTCTGTCGGCGGAATGTATAGAAAACGGGTACTTTGTAAGGGTAATTTATATATATTCAAAACACACACACACACACACACACACACACACACACACACACACACACACACACACACACACACACACACACACACACACACACACACACACACACACACACACACACACACATGCACACACACACACACACATATATATATATGTATATATGTATGTATGTGTAAATATATATAAGACGAAAATGTATTTCAAATTGTGATCATTCTTCGCAAATTTTACATCTCTTTATTTTTACACTTACGTGTCCATTTCCTAGTCACATAAGTTTTTTTTTGCGGAAAGTGATTGAATTGTTCTTGTTCTTACGTATCCAGGGCTCTTCTAATATATTTGTGTGACCGTATGTAAAACGTATTTCACCCCCCCCTCAAAAAAAAAAAAAAAAAAAAAAAAAAACACGTTTCTGACGTCATTGAGGCTCTCCTTTTTTAGGCACTTTTGTCTGGGTGAACTTTTCCTATAAACTACTTATTATATCAACTTTACTTATACGTATTATCAACTGATTCTAATAGAGAGAGAGAGAGAGAGAGAGAGAGAGAGAGAGGAGAGAGAGAGAGAGAGAGGAGAGAGAGAGAGAGAGAGAGAGAGAGGAGAGAGAGAGAGAGGAGAGAGAGAGAGAGAGGAGAGAGAGAGAGAGAGAGGAGAGAGAGAGAGAGAGGAGAGAGAGAGAGAGGAGAGAGAGAGAGAGGAGAGAGAGAGAGAGAGAGAGAGAGAGAGGAGAGAGAGAGAGAGGAGAGAGAGAGAGAGGAGAGAGAGAGAGAGAGAGGAGAGAGAGAGAGAGAGGAGAGAGAGAGAGAGAGAGGAGAGAGAGAGAGAGAGAGGAGAGAGAGAGAGAGAGAGAGGAGAGAGAGAGAGAGAGGAGAGAGAGAGAGAGGAGAGAGAGAGAGAGAGAGAGAGGAGAGAGAGAGAGAGAGAGGAGAGAGAGAGAGAGGAGAGAGAGAGAGAGGAGAGAGAGAGAGAGAGAGAGAGAGAGAGAGAGAGAGAGAGAGAGAGAGAGAGAGAGAGAGGAGAGAGAGAGAGAGAGAGAGAGAGAGAGAGAGAGAGAGAGAGAGAGAGAGAGAGAGAGAGAGAGAGGAGAGAGAGAGAGAGAGAGAGAGAGAGAGAGGAGAGAGAGAGAGAGAGGAGAGAGAGAGAGAGAGGAGAGAGAGAGAGAGAGAGAGAGGAGAGAGAGAGAGAGAGAGGAGAGAGAGAGAGAGAGAGAGAGGAGAGAGAGAGAGAGGAGAGAGAGAGAGAGAGGAGAGAGAGAGAGAGAGAGAGAGAGAGAGAGAGAGGAGAGAGAGAGAGAGGAGAGAGAGAGAGAGAGGAGAGAGAGAGAGAGAGAGAGAGGAGAGAGAGAGAGAGAGAGAGAGAGAGAGAGAGAGAGAGAGAGAGAGAGAGGAGAGAGAGAGAGAGAGGAGAGAGAGAGAGAGGAGAGAGAGAGAGAGGAGAGAGAGAGAGAGAGAGAGAGGAGAGAGAGAGAGAGAGGAGAGAGAGAGAGAGAGAGAGAGGAGAGAGAGAGAGAGAGGAGAGAGAGAGAGAGAGAGGAGAGAGAGAGAGAGAGAGAGAGAGAGGAGAGAGAGAGAGAGAGAGAGAGAGAGAGAGAGAGAGAGAGAGGAGAGAGAGAGAGAGAGAGAGAGAGAGAGAGAGGAGAGAGAGAGAGAGAGGAGAGAGAGAGAGAGGAGAGAGAGAGAGAGAGAGAGAGAGAGAGGAGAGAGAGAGAGAGAGAGAGAGGAGAGAGAGAGAGAGAGAGGAGAGAGAGAGAGAGAGAGAGAGAGAGAGAGAGGAGAGAGAGAGAGAGAGGAGAGAGAGAGAGAGAGAGAGAGGAGAGAGAGAGAGAGAGAGAGAGAGGAGAGAGAGAGAGAGGAGAGAGAGAGAGAGGAGAGAGAGAGAGAGAGGAGAGAGAGAGAGAGAGAGAGAGAGAGGAGAGAGAGAGAGAGAGAGAGAGGAGAGAGAGAGAGAGGAGAGAGAGAGAGAGAGAGAGAGGAGAGAGAGAGAGAGAGAGAGGAGAGAGAGAGAGAGGAGAGAGAGAGAGAGAGAGAGAGAGAGGAGAGAGAGAGAGAGAGAGAGGAGAGAGAGAGAGAGAGAGGAGAGAGAGAGAGAGGAGAGAGAGAGAGAGAGGAGAGAGAGAGAGAGAGAGAGAGGAGAGAGAGAGAGAGGAGAGAGAGAGAGAGGAGAGAGAGAGAGAGGAGAGAGAGAGAGAGAGGAGAGAGAGAGAGAGGAGAGAGAGAGAGAGGAGAGAGAGAGAGAGGAGAGAGAGAGAGAGGAGAGAGAGAGAGAGAGAGAGAGGAGAGAGAGAGAGAGAGAGGAGAGAGAGAGAGAGAGAGGAGAGAGAGAGAGAGGAGAGAGAGAGAGAGGAGAGAGAGAGAGAGGAGAGAGAGAGAGAGGAGAGAGAGAGAGAGAGAGGAGAGAGAGAGAGAGAGAGAGGAGAGAGAGAGAGAGAGGAGAGAGAGAGAGAGGAGAGAGAGAGAGAGAGAGAGGAGAGAGAGAGAGAGAGGAGAGAGAGAGAGAGGAGAGAGAGAGAGAGGAGATATTCTACAGGCATATTTTGGCAAGATGAAAATAGGAGTAGCCATCACCTTCAAAAATCACGTTTTTTTTCTTCTTTTTTTCTTTTTGCTAAATATCTATGGTTCAAGTATTACAGATTTTTTCTTATGAGGTGGCAGAAGTGTGGCAGGCGAGTTTACCCTTTTTGCGGTAGTAAAACAAGGACTGAAATAGAGTACAGATAAGTTTTCTCCCGATCACAACAGACTACAGTTGAGTACAAAATAAATAACTTTCATTATCTTGCATATTATATGTAGAGGAGTAAATAATGGAGTATTATTTATGATTTTTATTATTTCCCTATGTTATTTTTCAAATGGTCCATAATTAACCATGTGTGATTTTTTATTATCTAGGTACATTTTATACATATTTTAAAATATATTCAGAATATTTTCTTTCACAGACTCACTCGTCAGAACTCAGATGCAGCCAGATTCCTGGTGTGGTCCCAGCATCCATTTCTAAGTAAACCTTTACTACTAACATTCTCTTTCTCTCTCTCTCTATATATATGTGTGTGTGTGTGTGTGTGTGTGTGTGTGTGTGTGTGTGTGTGTGTGTGTGTGTGTGTGTGTGTGTGTGTGTGTGTGAGGGAAAGACTTTCCTTCCCTGATCTGGAACTTGGATCATGGAACAACCCTTGTCCATGCTAGCTGTCGGTGGTTCAACCTGCACGGTATACCCACCTCACTGTAATACAAGCTAACTTGACCATATACTAAGAAAACTGCATTCTTCTGTGGAGCGGACTTGAAGTTCAGCTTTATCATGGGCTTGGAAGGCAGGAACGGTCGTGTACTAAGTGCTGTGAAACGATTAGAAATGACCCCGCTACAACGATCAAGTACACTCCTCCCTCAATCTGCCTAGGTGAAATGCCCTAGGGTGGTCACTGGGCAGAGGATATTGAAGTTGACCCTGAAGTTAGTCGCAAGCTATGTAAACCCTTCTGAAAAGTAGCCAGTCGTTGTGAGAGTTCTAGCGATTGGGTTTGAGACACTGGTACCGCAAATCAGAAATTCAATGATGAATATCCAAATTCCTATAGTCCTTAGGTGGAGGGCATGCATTACTGTAGTAGGTGCAATTCAGGCTGAAGCGTTGGTATCACAAACCAAATTCTCAATTTCCGAGGCCTTGCAAACTCCTGGAGGAGACTGTTCTCACTACCAGTATCAGCTCTTGGGTCATGGGGTCTGACAGGTATCTCATAACCAGTACGATCACCGACGGACACTGCATTGAAGTCACCCAGAACAATGGCGACTGTTTGTCCCAGAAGTGAAATTAGTGAAGAACACCTCTTTCACATGAAGTTTATGCACGTTAGCAACACACACACAAATATACAATATATATATATATATATATATATATATATATATATATATATATATATATATATATATATATATGTGTGTGTGTGTGTGTGTGTGTGTATAATATATATTATATATGCATGTATACGTATATATAACGCCTATTTCATATTAAATACTCTGTTTAGCCCAGCAAAATGGGTCCGATTTTTCGTGATCCCCCTCCACAGCTCCTCTGACAACTCCAAAAGCAAGTAGGCAAATTTTCCTTCTGCAGCGCTCCGAAAGTTACATCTGAAACCCAAGCAAAGCATTATCAACACTTTACTGACAAACCCATTCCTACCCTACCCACATCCTCAATACTTGTACCAGAATTGTCTCCATTTCCCCAACAAACTGCCCTCTCTACGGCAAGGATTAGTCACATTGTGAAGAAGACTCGCCTGTCAGTATCAGTACTCCATTCATCCTAGATGCCGTCGTAAGTCCCCCACCAATATTGCCGAGATTACTTTCCGTAGACATGGCTTCCCCTTTAATGTTTACATTGGCGGAGAATCCCTCATTGTCCGACCATGTCAACCTCCCCCCGTCAGTGTCAGAATTGCTGGCGTTTAGGTCATCCTGCCAAACACTGTCGTTCCACAGCCAGATGCCCTCCATGTGCCCAACCTGGTTATAATCGATCAAACTGCTCTGCGCCGTCATGTACATGTGCCCATTGTGGCGACTTCCATAATGTATTTTATAGGGGCTGCTCTACTTACAAGTTTGGGTCTGAAGTGGCAACTCTCAGATTCAGACTTTGCCTCACTCTATGCGAAGCCAGACAGGAAGCACGTCGACTAGGTTTCTCTCTTACCCCCTACTCCAATAACTCCAAGATGTTTCTACATCTCCCCCACAACTCTTCCTCGTCCTAATTCTAGCCCCCCCCCTCCCTCTCCCAGCCAAATTCTTTTCCCATTCTAAATCCAGACGCCCCAATCTCCTCCACTATTCCAGACACTCCAATCACTACTTCCCCGGTCCCTAACTCCCTTCCTCCTCACCCAACTCATCGCAGAATACAAGTTAAATGCTCCATCCCATTTCCTACACCATTCTCTTCATCAACCTCTCCTTCCTCTCCCCTCCACAAAAAAACTTTTGTTTCTCAGACTTCCCCAACCAACTCCACTGCAGAAACTCCCGAAGACATTAAAAACAATCTAATCACGACCCAAGATAAGATGCTTACACCTCAATCATCCTTTAGTCTCTCTACTCCTATCCCTTCTAAACTCAAATTAACATCCATCCTCCTCCTAATGTCCCCCCCCCCAGGTGTGACCTTTTGTCACAGTAACCTCCTTTCCTAGATTCTCTCTCTCCTGACATTCTCACTGAATTCGTTATTTAATTGTGCTTATAACCCTTTCCCCTTTGCCATTCCCTACCTTTATCCTACGGACATCTTTGCAAAATTCCTCGTTTTCCCTTGTTAACTTTGATCATTGCGCCTTCAATCCCCATTTTCCTGAACTGTTATACGACTTCTGACATGTAGCACA